AAAAAAAAAAAAATAATGAACGGCCCAGTGGAATCAGATATGAATATTTTGCAGCTGTAAAAGATATTTATCATTTCTGGATTTTTTTAGTAATAGCTGAAATAAGCACCCATTTTCGTTTCGTATAAAATATTTATTTATTTATTTTTTATTATTTGTTTATTATCTTAGTTTAAAGTATTGACTACAAATCACAGAATGTATTTTAGCATTTGTAAAAAGTTAAATTTACATTTATATACGGATAGTTACTTAAGTTTAACAATTTGACGCATATATTTATATACAGTATGTACAGTAGGATGGTTTAAAGGGAAAAACTATTAAATTATTAAGCTCTCAACCCTAGAATTTTTCTAAATGGAAATTATGTTAAGAACTGCCTCAAAGCCCATGAGCTTTTCCATTTTTTTTAAGGGGGGGGACACTTTTTTGTAGAAATGGTATATAATTCTTGAAAATCAATATTTTTGCTTTCGGAAAACTCTGTTTCTTTTTAGGAAACTTCTAGTAACAATACCCAATTGTTTATTTAACAATTTTTTAATATTGACTACCATTTATAGTAGGTCCGCACAAAACTCCAAAAAATGCAATGGGGAAGCCTATAAAAAATTCTTTATGTTAGAAAATGAAGAAAAACAGAGTTTTCCGAGAGAAAAATATTGATTTTCAAAAATTGTATATCATTTCTACGAAAAAGCGTTTTTCCCCATATAAAATACATGGAAAGCTTTCAGGAGCTTTGAAGCGGTTCTAAATGTAATTTTTTTGTAAACACAAACATTTACATAGGTATTCTTTTTGCCATTTAAAATAATCCTAGGGGGTGAGAGTTTAACATTTTAAACTTTTTTGGACCACCTTAATGTATACAGTACATATAACGCTAAAGCATTTTCAATGATAAAACTAAATACTAAATATAGTTTTTGTATATGTGTGTATGTATGTATGCCGTATGTACATACATATATATATTTTTTTCATTTAAAACGTAGTCACATTGTTTTAGTTTTGGCAAGCGTATATAATTATTGTTTAATTTTATGATTCAGCGCATACACAAGTGCTTAAGTACACATGCATATACATACTTATGCTTAAATTACACAAAAAAAAATTTTATAATACATTTAGTTGTAAGAACTTGTACTGCTCTATGCATGTGAATGTATGCATCGGCGTAGCCAGAATGAAATTTAGGGGGGGGAGGCTCGACCCTATTAACCTGGCATTTCAGGGTACTATTTTATATATACTAGTGTTCGCCCAGCGGTTNAAAGTTAAGGGGGGGGGGGCTCGAGCACCCCCCTGGCCCCACCTGGCTACGCCCATGAATGTATGTACTATATTTAACACAAAATTGTCATACTACAGCTATTGATTTGAGCCTTGATTTTGTTTGTAAATATATATTTTTGCATATTTAAGTGCTAAGCTAAAGTACTGTCAAAAAAAAAAACGCAGACAAATTCAAAACAATCTATTCACCCTCCGCGTAGGAAGGCGGTCCACAGCGATCAGTACGTCTTGATAGACGTGCTGTTTTGCACCGCAGTAGGCATTGCCGCCTTGCGCTAGGCACACGAGCAGTACTTCTTCACAAAGCTATCGGCCACACAATGCGAGTCCTTGAAATACGTATTCAAACGACTTATCTCGCCCGTGATCTTAATAGTCTCAGTCGCTGGATTATAACGCAGAGTTACCTCGAAGTCTGCACTATTCGGTTTTGTGATTAAATGCAGCCGATACACATCCAAGGCAGTGCCATTTGCGTCTTTCGGTCGAAAGTCCTTGCACGAGCGATGCGCGCTTATCACATTGCCGAGCTGCAGAGAACGACATAGCGAGGTCAATGAGCCGTTGTTGAAATTGCGCACAAGCTCATTTATATAGTTGACCGTCATAGTACCCAATTTTTGTACGATATGCATATTTTTATTCACTTTTCTATAGGGTATGCAAGTGCACCAGTGCTCATCGATGGCCGCGTCGTTGCACGAACGATCCAAAGGTACCGGCTCGAGGAGAGTTTGACAATTCGTGCAGCCCTCAGCTGGAGCTAAGACACTTGCCTTGTCCTTGTCTTCGATGCGCTCGGATAGGCGAAGAAAATGCTTGAGTGTCATGTGTAGATCGTATGGTGTGGTCAGACGATTTTTATTCACACTCAAAGCATTCACGAAACTGGGATACTTTTGTTTCAGATACGGTGGCAACCAAATGAAAATGAACGGCAGCCGCTCCTCCATATGACCGGAAGTTGTTGCACGTGCGGGCCCAAAGCGTAAACCGTGATCGCTAAAGAATACGACGATGCTGCGATCGAGTATGCCCAACTTTTCGAGGCGTTGCAGGTAGTTAAGCACCACCACGTCCATTGAGGAGGCATCACTCAGATTGTTGTGGCTAAAGGAATTCGCCCAAAATAAGCCAAAAAGCGGATGGTCTTTGAAACGTGTCGCAAACTCTATCGCATAGTCGAGTACAAATTGCGCTGACTGCTGATAGCCGAGACAGAAGGTGAGACCGGATTTCAAAGTTTTATACAGATGATGTTCAGCAGCGAGTTGGAATGGACGTAGATAGTAATCGACCGGTGGTTTCACGAATCCCACCTTATAGTAGTTGAATGTACTGATTTCGGCAGCATCTTCACCATAGCCGGTCACATAGCCATGCTCGCGAAAGGTATTCCAGATTAAACTACAATTGTCTAAGGCACCGAGGACTTTTGGAGGGCATTTCTTAACGGTAGTGTATTTATTGTAGCCAGCAAGCAGAGCCATTAAATTCGGAAATGTATTGTCGTCTATCTGATAGAAAGCAAAATGGGATTTGAAAACACATTATTAAAATTCTTTTTTTTTTTTTGGGAGTTAAGCAGGTGTTGCATACTGTCATGTTGTACGATTTAAGGGATTCGCAAGCTACCATAAAAGTCGTATTTATTTAGCCATTAAAAACTTTACGACATACGACAATACGACACCTTGTGAACCACCTAAATATTTATTTAATAAAAAAAATTAACTTTTTTATTTCGATCTCCTTAAATAGCCGGATTTAGAACTTTGTGTGTGATGTGATTTAGTTAGAAATCGTATATAAAGCTATTTATCTTGTCCTCTTATTTGTACAGTTGTAGACTAGATTGATATAAATACATATTCTACCTTATTGTAGCCACTCAATTCGAACCAGTCGTTGTCATACAGGTGCTGCGCGGTCTTTGGCATAGCTCGTATCAAGTTTACGCGCGATATACTATCGATGCCGATCATTAGCACGCTTGGTGGCTTCGTGCCACCCCGTTCATCATCTTTTTCCCGCCAAGTTTTTAAACGCTCCAGCACATCTGGTTTTTCGCTTATCAAAGGATGCCCATTTTTATAGACATTTCGCTTGTTGGAATCGCATTGTACTAAAATATTCTCGATTTTAGCTGATAGAGAGACGCTATCCTTAAAAGGCACACACTTGCCAAGCCTAAAAAATATTAAAAAAAAGAAAAATGTTTATAAAATAAAATAAAAATAAAAATAAAAATTATTTATAAACTCTAAATTAAATAAATAAATACTAAATATGAGTAAAAGTTAATGAATTAGCTGTATAACGGTAAACTACGTTTTTTAAATATTTATATGTATTGAAAGAGCAGCTTTTCTCAGTAGCTTAAGTCGGGAGGCTCTGGCTTTAGTATAATATGCCATTCGCAGGTTACGATTGCGAATGACGCACAGATGCCAAGCCATTGAAGAGCTTTTCGCAAATAAACGTGAGAGGAATAGTTCTGATGTTAAAAACTGGAAGAAAACACTTTCCTTTAAGAAGTTATTACTGGCCGACGAGTGTTACGAATGTCGACAAGTTGCGATAGCGATCCGGAAGTTATCGCTAACTGGTTACAGAGTCTTCCTATACATGTAATAAAGTTTTTGTTCTATTTTATGAATCTACAGCTATTGGGAAAACACATTATACTATGTATACTACACATACATACATAGGTACAAGTACAGTGGTCGAAAAAATTATAGCCGCACCACATATTGACAAGCTTTTTTGTTATATAATTTTAGCTATTTTTTTTATAAATACATATACCGTTCGTTCTGTAACAAAAACCATGTCAATCCAAGTTTCAAACTTTGTGCAATATAAACCCCAAAAAACTATAAAAATTCAGCAAACTTTTTTTTAACAATTTCGAGCTTTTTAATTAGATTTTGAGTATATAGTTTTGTAGCCCATTCCATTCTAATGCAATAAGCTGCAAGTTTTAAGTGGCTAAAAATTACCGTTAGATTTTTTTTTCTCGAAGATCTTACACTTTTCTTCCATATATTAAGAAAACATAAATTAGAGCAATTCATCTAAAAGCGTAAATACCTCGTAACTACGTAAACCTCGTAAACTTTCTTAATTTTGTATTGAAAACCGGTTTATCTACGATGTTTACACAGTTATTGTGTTCATTCGTAAAAAAAATCTAAAAAATTAACGGCAATTTTTAGTTATTCGAAACTCGTACTTTATTACAACAGAATTAAATGGGCTACAAAACTGTATACTCAGAATTTTTATAGGAAATCTAATTAAAAAGCTCAAGATTTTTACGCAAGTTTGCCACATTTTTTTAATATTGCAAAAAAGTGTGAAACTTGGTTTGTGTAAAAGAATGAACTGTATTTTTTTACAAAAAGGAACTAAAATTAAATGAAAAAAAAAACCAACATCAGAAACCGGGTGAATACTTCGCTCAGCAATGACGGGGATGCAGGTGAGTAAAACTCATGTTGCCTACAATTTCAGAAGGTCTATCTAGTTTTCTGCTCTCACTGAGCGGACGGTACTGCAGACAACTCGTTGGACTACTTCACGTGGCACAAACACCTGACTGTAAGAGGCGTAAATGACAACTCAATTTGCCCATCCTGCCTTGAAGAGGACGAGACGGCGGAACACTTTTTATGCTTCTTGCTTGCTTAGTTGTTTGTCATCGATTTTTCTACATTCGGTCTTTTCCTTATAGCCAGTTTCTGAATTTAAAGTTTAGCGTAAAAGCATTGCGGTTTTCTTATTTAAAGTTTTGTGTTTTAAAAAATCTGAGTGGTAAATATTTTGTGCATCAGTTTAAAACTCCGAGTGGTAAAAGTAAAAATGATGTCATCACCACAAATACATTATTTTACAAATACGCCACATGCAAAAACTTATGAGTGAGCCAAAAATGTGCGGAGTTTATGGTGAAGAGAATGTAAATAACGCTAGCGTTCGGAGTGATCTTAAAAAATATATAACTCCTCAGAGCGAAACAGCACTTTTACGGCCTTACGAGCTCTGTATTTTAAAACTTGCAAGTGTGTAATCACATTATTTTTATAAATAGAACACAAGAAAATATTTTATTTTTATTTTTGCCACTCCGAGTTTAATTTTTAAATTCACCCGCGATGAAAATTTACATCGTTAGATCTAATCTCCACATTTTTTTTGACGAGCTTTGGGAATATGTTATAAATGTAGGAGCAGGGGGTCCACCGAAACCAGTAAAGTTTTTTAAGGGGTCTACGAGAAAAAAGTTTGGGAACCTCTGGCATATATGTACACCAGACATATATATACGAATATCAGCATAAATGTAATAAAAAATTGGTGTTTTCATTTTCGAGAGGGGTATAAGGAAAAATTTAAATCTTTTTGAAATATTGCGTTTTTTTTAATTTTATACCAATTAGCAAAAAAAAATTTACCAAACCAGCCGAAAAGTACCAACATATAAGTATTTAAATTAGGTAAATTTCTCTATTGAGGGATTCACAACGGTGTCGTAAGTGTCGTATTGTTGTATGTCGTAAACTTTAAAAACTTAAATAAATGTTTAGAAAACTTTAAACCACAACCAACTATTTTCAAACACTGCGAAAATTGATATTATGGCTTTGATGGTACTTTGCGAACCCCCCTTAAATATATTTTTTAGGCGTTTAAAGTTTACGACATACAACAATACGACACATACGACGCCATTGTGAATATCCCAAAAAGGTACGTTCGTTTAAAATCTCCAGTAAAACATGCCCAGCAACAAAATTCCTTTGAAAGGATGAAATGGCAACAGTTCACGCCTCTGGATCACTGTAGCATTTTCCAATGCAGGGAATACTTGAAAATTGCTCAAGGTCTGGGTGCTCTCCTGACCTCATGCGGTCTAAATATGCGGCCAAAAAGAGTTGCATTTAATGCAACAATATTTTGCAAAATATTTAGTATTTTCTAAGGTTTATATTATTACAGCAGCTGTTTATTAATTTTAGCAAGTATTTCGTTTTTAATAAACACCACGTATTTACTTCTATGAAGTGTAAAAACATTCGTCCACAAACATTCAAATTTTCAAGTATACACAGTGGTATTTCGACAGAATTTGGCGCAGTGCCGCATTTTGACAAAATTATATCAAAAATGTCGATGTAGTACCAATGTACTTTTGAGTTTCGAAATGTACAAAAAAGTTCAATTGCACATCAATTTCATCACTGATGTGTATTATTGAATCATCCCTGTCAGCCACGGCTCACCACCAGTGTTGCCGCGACGTTCAGAAGAAATGTATCACCGAAATTCCCTAAAATGGATCAAAAGTATCACGAAACAAAATTTTAAGTATCAAAATATCATTCTTCAATAAAACTTCTAATTCTTAAATTAAAATGTCACACGATTGGTACATTTGTACAGATTTGTACATTTTGGCAGTTACAGAATAGTCTTGTTTGAAAATTCTTTTATTGAGCTGAACTCAAATTTATAAAGAACACCCCTCCGTGACTGCCAAAATGTACAAATCTGTGCAAATCGTGTGACACTGCCTTTAGCCCAGTACAACATCCAACAGCTTCAAAATCAAAAAGGAAAAAGAACGACATTCCAGGATTTAGTGAGAAATTGTTCGAAAAATATATGATAAATGTGTGAAAGGAAACGACTTCCGACTATTTTGGACTAAATCCTGGAGTACTGGAGCAGGCTAGTCGTCTGTAGCTAACAGTGATACCATATGCAGATTACAGGTGGTATGTTCAGGAAAGAAAACAAACTTAATGTTTTGCCACAAAATCATAAAAGTCTTAAGATGGGAAGAATTACCAACTTGTTTGAGAATTAAAATTTATCACAATTTATACTTAGCTAAAAATAAAAGTATCTTTTAAAAATTCGTTGGAAAACGAATCATTTGGATCCATTTGGATGTAAACGGCAACACTGCTCACCACTTTCCCCTGAAATTCGAACGATTTGCCAACACGTGTTGAACATATGTTCAGCAAACATAGTTGCAACTAGAGAATGTTCGATATTTAAGAAAGTATCGATATCATGAATCGATTTAATTCATTGCATGTAAAATCGATATGGCGATATATCGGGCTGAACAATATCGATATAGGAAAAATCGATGTTGAAAATCCTACTCCCAATTGAATAGAATATTAGACCTGCCTGTCAACTCACCTAATTGTGTTATTTCCATCTTGCATATTTACTGAGGATTAAAACGGCATGCCGGTCGACTCAAGCGATTTGTCAAATTAAGAGCTAAATAAATCACGCAAGCTGCTGATTGAACGTACTTTAGTATTTTCCCACACAATTTTGTTTAGATTAAAAATATTTTCAACTTAAATATCGATATTGCGGGTAAAGTATCGATGTCTGCGATATATCGACCTTGGAATATCGATTCAAAAAATCGATTATCGTGCCATGAAATATCGATATTCAGAATAATCGAAACGATATCGTACATTCCTAGTTGCAACCAAGGCGAATTTATACAAGGTGGTGTTTGGGTTTTCGCCGCGGACCTTCTGAATGTCAAAGTGCTTCGTTTGTTGTATAAATTAACGTTGTTTGCAACGGTGGGTATGGAGTCACTCCGTTGGAGTGTGGTCAGTTAATGTTTGCAAGCTAGAAGTAAGTAATGTGGTATATTTTGTTTCATACATTTACATATGTACATACATACAAACATATTTCAACAAGAAATACAGAAAAATGGACATCGAAAATGAATATGATAAATATCGTGCGGAACTAATACAACAAGTTCGCGACAATAGTATACTGTGGGATAAGAAACATCATTTATATTACAAGAAAGCGAAAAAAAACACAGTCTGGAAGCGTTTGGCACAAAGATTCGGGAAATCAAGTAAGTAGGTGTGCATACATATACATATGTATACTGATATACATACACATTTATGCAATAATACAAGGTGGTAACAGTTGTGACAGCTCGATTTGACCACAGTATACAGTAATCCAGATAGGCAGAACAAAAAATGTAAATATGCTTATTTGACAATTTGTTTGAATGTATTGGTNGTTAACCCAAATGAAATCAAATTTAATATTTTCTTATAGTGAAAAATATTTTCAAGTGACATAAAATAAAATAACGGGAAAAATAAAATTCC